CATTAATTTCCTTAGCAAAAATTTTCGGGTCGCTACACATACGTCAACATCCGGTTAACCTTTTCAACTTAAGTTCTAAACCTGGGAACTAAGTATTCCAAATCATTCCAAAATCCCACGAGACCCGAACCAATTACCCTAACAAGTCAAATAACAACTGTAAGCATAATTTGAGTAGTAAATGGGGAAACGGGGTTGTAATACTCAAAACGATCGGTCGAGTCGTTACAAACCAAGAATAATTTCTCATGACTTTTAAATAGAGGACTCGTCCAGCTTTAAACTAGATCAAAATAGAGCCTTAGACCTTGAACAAAATAATACTAACCTATTTTCTTATATTGATACATACATGACAGTTTATACATGCAACTTTCAAAGAAAATCATGGTAGATCAAATCTAAGATGCTTAAACAAACCCAGAAATTTAACCTCGTTCAAACATTGCAATACAGAGTCTACATTACAAGGTAAAGGGGTTACCTAAATGCTGAAAGAAACCAAACAAATCAGCAGTGAAGACTTTGATCCCACAAGCTAAGGATCAAAACCAGAATGCAGCTAGTGACAACAACCGAACAACAACTTATACCACTGAAAACCAGTGGAAAGTCCAAGAACAAACCAAATAATACAGATGATTTTGAAGGAACTAAACCTAGAAAATAAACTCGTACAGCCTTTGGTATTCTCTGATATTGTCTATCAAAGTATCTTCTTTTTTAGTGTGCAAGATGATGGCTAAGTATGTTAGCGTCTGTTTTAAGTATGAAAAATAAGTCCCTTTGGACAGATTTTGATTCATTAAAAATCTGTCCAAAAGGACTAACTTTTGTGTGCCAAAACAGTCCCCTTTTTACTAGATTCTCACACAAAGCAGAGCAGTTGTATTTTCTAGCATGCTTAAAACAGTAAAATCAACCAACTATATACTATTCTTTTTTTTAATTTCAGCTTTTATCAACACAAACTCAAATACTCAAACTTAATCCAATCATGAAATTGACAGAGCAACAACAAGACTTCAATTGGAACTAAATTAAATACCCAATGAACTAGATTAAATCAATTTTATTTAGACAACTAATAATCTATCAAAATCAATGAGTCACTAAATGAAACAAAATAAATACATCTCACTTGTCGTGCCCCGTTTTCTCACAAAAGCGGGTTTCGGTATGTGACAACTCTTTTAAGTGGGTATTAAAAGAGAAGAGTCGCCACCTAACAATTTTTTGGTGCGTTAGGGCACCTATTTGTAAATAATTCTGTTTGACTAATCCGTGTCACCAAAGATCGGGTAAGGGCTCAAATTACTTCAAAGAGAAGGTGTTAGGCACTCTTCGAGGTCCACAACTGTGGGTCCCGACCGAACTTGAAACTATGTGAATTATGTAATTAGACTAGGCGATCAAATAAAGGAAAATTTAGAAGTCGAAAAGTCTTATTAGGGCACGTGAGAATCGGCACAAATCTTAATGACTACAGAGATACAACTACATTGATTTATGTTTAATGACTAAGTATAAATAACAAATACATAAAGAAAAGAATTTGGGTGTGTGGGGGGGAGGGGAGGTCCTATATTTTTTAGCCTAAAGGATCACCCTGTGTAACATAAATAATATTTCGCAACTCCTTTGGGATAGGGGTTGTTCATATTATTCAGCAGGCACAGACCATCATCTCCCGCTATCCGATTACTATGTTAAAGCTATTTACCTAATGGCGATCTAATTCAATTCTAGGTCACACCCTACGCGTGCACTACCCGTCCCATACCTATGGTCCAGAAGGCTTTGAACCTTTATTTGTGTGGCTATAGACATCTCTTAGGATGCTCAAAATGATAAAACTAGCGCACATTCAAAAAACATGTAGGACCACACATAAGTACAATTAAAGGCTCAAGTAACCTCCACACATAAACAATAAGTGCACGCGGACAGTTAGGCAGTAGACAATTTCATACGCATTAGAGTCATTAAGTCCCATAGGCATAGTTTCTATATGATTCTGATCTCCAGCGTTGTATAGGCAGCATTGCAGCTTTAAACTAGCGAACTTGCAGATTAAAGGTGTCAAAAGTTCCTATAGGCATGATCTCCAAATTGTTTATGTAATGGGGCAATAAAACCGTTGAAAACTCAGAATTAATGACGTTTGATCTCGTAAACATGATGTCTAAGATGAGTAACAGTATCCTATAGGCAGGATTTCTAACGGTTGACAATTGAAACTGGTTTTATAACACTTTATCCCTATAGGCATGTTTTCTAGGCGAGCAATGTGATTAGAATAGCAATAACAGTAGCTAATTAATCAATTAAGGTCCTATAGACATAATATCTAGGTGGACATTAGCAAAATATGTGTTATTGTATCCTATAGGCATGCTATCTAGAAGCGTTGGATAGTAGAAATGGAAACAAGTGGAGCATATTTGAAAAGTTAAGTGAGGTGTGTGCGTGATTCCTATAGACATGGTTCCTATTAGTGTGCAACAAATAAGGCATGCTAGACGTATTAGCAAATAGAACACATAGACTCTATAGGCATGTTTTCTACCCTTTCATTCAAGTATTAGAATACCTCAGCCCCCCTTTTATTAATTCCCTATAATTTATTATACAAATTATTACAGCCCAACTGGAATAAATACATGCATAATCATAAATATAAAATAACCCAGCAATGCATCTGGGCCTTCAAATGGCTTTAAAAATTCAGGTAGGCCCATACCTTATGTGCAGATAGTGTTCTTCAAACCTCTAGTGCCAAAGCAGGCCCAACACACTAAGCCTAAACGAATAGTTTCTTACCCAAATGGAGGCCAAACTTGGCCATACGAGTAACAAACTACACTTGGGATTAATTGAATAACCTTTTGAAGTCTACACACTGAATTATCGAAACTGTATCTAACAACAGTTTTCACTAAAGCATATCGACAAGTTCATAGGGCATACATAAGGCAGGTTCATGCTTGCATTCTTTGAGAATAAAGCTAAGGTGACAGGATTGACCAACATGAGGTAGCATACTACTTCAAGTAATGTTTCAAAGCAAACATGGTCTAGGATTAGCATAAAGAACTTAGTCAGGAGATTTTGAACATGAGAATCTAATAAAATCATGGACAGAAAGCCAACAGAGTATAGTCCTCGCATAAGGATGTCTAGCATGAAAAATTAGTGAAAATAGCATAACCAAACAAGTTGGTAGACATTGTCTACAAACAAACCTTAATTTAAACATACTAAGTACCAGTCACAACACAAAAGGCTTAAGCAACACCAGAACTAAGTAGGCAAGGATACATAAAAAACTAGACTATCAAATTACACATAAGAGAAAAGCTGGATGATGCACTTTCACCTTGTAAACCATAGGTACTACTAGACCACATGGGATTAAGTCAGGCAGGGAACACACATTAAGTTCACAATTAGCAGGGCAATACATTTGGCTAATAACATGGCTAAGAACTAACTCTAGTAAGGTATTAAGTACACATGAATGATCCAACATGAATCAGAACACATGAGTTGATTTATCACAAAGATATAGAACATGGCAAGGATACAAACTCAGGATGAGTGGCAGGTATAAACATTCAAAAACACAAAAACATACTAGGCTGGGCATGTTTAAGGTAGTGAGGATCATTTATGTTGAACACATACAGTAGGCATACATCAGAGTCATAAGTTGGACAAGTTCAGATGTTAGAAAAGTTCTGAGTCGTAAAATGATAGGGATAACACAATAGCATACAGATTCATAAAGTTTAAGTGACATAGATGTACAAACATAAAAACACGAGAATGAAAGAAATTGACAGAGCCAAATACACTTATCAGTTGAGAATTAACAAATGGGTGAACAAGAAGAATAATTCCAATAATACTTCAATCATTGACAGCAGAGAGAGCAGCAGAACCCAAAACTCAGTGCGTCAGAGTTTCTAAGGGTTTCAGATGAACCCCTGGCAGTGTTGGCAATGAGAAGGTCAGTTAATCAAAATTTGGTGGCCTAGGCTTTCAGCCGGCCAAGAACCAAGAGTGCAGAAAGTATAGAAGAATCAGAGTAGTGGTAACAATAGTTAAGTTATGAATCGTTGAGAGCTGGAAAGGGAACGGGGAAGGGGTTTTATATAGTGCAAAAATTGAAAGAACAAACATGAAAAACAATTAATTAAGCACAAATAAGGAAAGAAAATATCACATGCAAATCAAAATCAGTAAAGGAGATGGAGAGTCTCAAACCATAATCGGGTTGAATCGTCTGAAAAATCGAAGCAAGAGTGCAAATTGCTCTTTGTTGAGCATAAATAGACGGAATAACGCACAAAATCAAAGATTCGAGCCATTCCAGTCTGATCTCGAAGTGATACTTGCCAAACTTAGGCAAGTACCTAAGTAACACCATAAGTGGACGACCAATAATAAGAGAAGGCTAATAAAGTAAGTAGATCATAAGTAGATTCCATCTCTAGGCCAAGATTGGAGTGGAACTAAGAAACGGCTGCTAGGGTTTGCGGAAGAGAGGAGAGGGTTCGAGAGAGTGCAAAGGCAGCTGTTAGGTGGGGAATGGTCTTTAGGGTTTAGGTAAAGGGGATATAAGGAAAAGGGGAAGGTTATTGTGGGTTGTTGATCATATGAGATCAACGGCCATAATTAAAGGGAAGCGGGGCGGGTCAGGAGATGGGTATAGGATAGTGGGCTGCTGGTGCTGGGTTAAAGGGTACAGAGGCGTATCCAGGATTTTAAGAATATAGGTGCACCATTATCTTTAAGATAAGTGTTTGGCTCGATTATATAAAATTTATGGTGATAAAAAGTTGACGAGCAAACTATATTAATATTATATTCACCAAAAACATCATTCACTTTACAATTGTCTCGACGAGTTTTCATACTTTGAAAACGGTCGATAATAGCATCATTACTTACATTTTTTAATATCTTACGCTCTATATAGCAAACTAAATAATTATTTAAAAATCATTATCCATCCTATTACGTAAATCATCTTTGATGCACTTCATTGATGAGAATGCTCTTTCCACGCTTGCGGTAGCAACAGGTATAAGCAAAGTCAACTTCACAAGAAAATAAATAAGTGTCCAAGTAAGATCCAATTTTGTCTCTATCATCACTCTAGCAAAATTCTTAATTCCCTTTAGGTTAAGAAATCTGCTATCACACTTTTGAGCATAGACAATGAAACTATCAAGTTGGAAACCGAGTTCTCGATGCTTGTTATTACCAAACTCACTTGGATAATACTCTTCCAACTTCATTATCTTATCCTTATCAAAATAATCAAATGAATCAACCGGACTCAAATTGGCCATACCAAGTAGTAAGTCAGTAGTCACAACATCAAAACGATCATTAAGCTCTTGAAATTCCAAATCAATAACTGTATTAAACACTTCCACACGAAAGTGATGTAAATATGAAACTTCGGAACTCTTACACTTCGACTTTCCTAGAGTATATTCTTCATCTATTTTGGGAATTAGAATATCATGTTTACTACAAAATGAGCACACCTCATCCAACAAAGAGTTCCATCAGTTTCTCTCATCATTTGCAATTTTTTCTTTGCAAGGTCAAGCATTCCCATAGCATTAACAATATCTTGATCTTTTTTTTATAAAGCGTTGTTCAATTCATTTGTAAATAACAACACCTTAAACATTAAGTGCAACATAAAAATAAATCCAAATTCTTGAATCTGGCTTAAAAGATTTCCCGCTGCAAATCTATCAAGATGATATGGACAGTCACACTTCATATCTTTAAGCACATTAACAATTGAAGGAAATAAAACCATCAAATTGTCCAAGGTTTTAAAATGACACCCCCAATGAGTATCACCCGGTCGTTGGAGGCCACGTTCTTGATTCAAACCTTGCCCCGTAAAGACTTCTCCAAATTTAAGCAACTCTTCCAACTTATCTGCTTGATGTTGTTGAAGTGACTCCATGCACTTAAATGAAGATCCAATGGTATTCAAAACAATAGTCACAACATAAAAGAAATTATCCACATCCAAATGCTTTTTAGAAAGAGCTACAAGTGCTAGTTGCAATTGATGAGCAAAACGGTGAATACAATATGCAGAGGGAGTATTTTGCAAAATTAAAGACTTGAGACCATTTATTTTTCCTTGCATATTAGCTCCATCATAACCCTGTCCACGTATCTTGGATTTACTTAAAGAATGATCCAAAAGCAAAGAATAAATTGCTTTTTGTAATGATGAGGAAGAAGTATCACTCACGTGGACAATACCCAAGAATCGCTCTATCACCATTCCACTTTTGTTGACATATTGCAAAATTAAGGCCATTTGCTCCCCATGTGAGACGTCCTTTGATTTATCAACCAATATTGCAAAATAATCACCATCCAAATCTTCAATGATAACTTTAGTTGTTTCTTTAGCACAAGCCTCCACAATCTCTTTTTGAATTGTTGGACAAATTATCATATCATTTTGTGGAGCATGACGTAATATTACTCTTCCCATATCCGGATGCTGATCTCCATGCCATTCCAAAAGTTCAAGAAAGCCATATTTATATTCAGATTCTTCACTTTCATCATGTCCACGAAATAGAAATCCCGATCTTAAAAGAAACCTTGCCACATCAATTGAGGCATTTAACCGCATCCGGTAATCACTTTTTACTTTTTCACTCTGCTTATCAAAAGAAGATTGAATCGATTGACGTTGATTTTTCAAATCTAGCATCTTATTGAAGCATTTGTGATGGATACTATTTACTTCACTAACATGTGCTTTGAATCTTTCTACACCCTTGTTCCATCCCCTAAAACCATCTTTTGTAAATGCATCCCCTGCATTTTCACGACTTTCAAGTTCATTCTTGAACAAATAACAACACAAACAAAATGCCGTCCTTTTATGCTATACTCCAACAATTGAGAATATGGTCCCCTAAACCAAGTGGAACTAAATTGAAACATTTTACTCCCAATCTTAGTTTTAGGAAAGGCATGACCAATCGGTTGACAAGGCCCTTTGTTTATATAATATCTCCTTACTTCATCTCGAATATTAGGACCATAATCCGAGATTGGCATTCTTTCTTTGGGATCCGGTTCAAAAGATTTCAAATCAAGCACTTTATCCACATTTGAATGTAGAGAAGGATTTGTCACCCATTGAACTTCCGGAGCTATTTGTGAACTCACGCATGGCCGAGTAGTACTAGAACTTGGCTCACCATTTTTCGGCTTGGTGAGAAATCTATCCATTTCAATATTAAGGATTATCGTTCCTACAAAGTTAAACATTTACACTTTTATTCAATATATATTAATTCAAAAAGAATATTATGATTCAAATCATACAGTAATTGGATTTAAGGGACAAAAATAAATCGATTACTACATTGGATCAGTTTTCTCATTCATTGGCTTCTTAGTATGATTCACTTTTTGATTGTTAATTACTTCAATTTTAGAGAATTCTTAGCAGAAGTTCAAACTCTAGTTCTTAGCAGAGTTCAATCTTATGTTATCTTGGCCCAAAATACTAATAATTAGTCAGAAATTAAGTTCACATAGCCCCTACTTAACTAAACTCGATCAAGCATTTTCTCAAACACAATATGTGGGCAAATCAATACTATCATTATTCAAGACTTTAAAGCCCTAGCTCTCCCAAATTCTCCCAAGAAATAGCATTCAACAACCCCATATTAGAAATAAACTATAATAAATACCAACAGCAAGACAAAATCTTGGCAAGAGATTCAAACATTGAAAGAAAGGGAAAAGAAAATTCAAGAAATTGCAAGAGGAGAAGAAAGTTCAAGGAGTAAATTAAAATACAGAGCAAGAAGAGAGACATGGTAGTTGCACACCTGAGAAACTAAAAGCAGAGACCAATGAGAAGAAATTGCGCTCTTGATTCTTGAAGAATCCACTGAGGGTGAAGAGAGATGGAGTATTCGAAGAGATAGAGTAGTTGTATCTAATTTTATTTTAGGGATTTGAAAGTTTGACTAAGAGAAAAAGGAAAGAAAAAGATAGTAAAAAGGGACGGGGGTTAGGGTCTTAGTATTTAGGGACCTGTAAGATGTTTTTAGTAAAGAAAAAAATAGAAAAATTTAATTAAAAGTCAAAAGGAACTTTAGAAAAGAAAACAAATAGAAATATTTAATCAAAAAGAAGTATATAGGGATAGGGGTTCGAACTCTGGATCTGGGAGACAAAAGGGGAAGTCAGTCACCAATGCACCAAAGTATTCAATTGAGCATGGGTGGTCACCAATATATTTATGTAAATAACTGAAAAATTTATACTGTATATACATAGCCTAGAGATGGGAGGATGGGTGCATGTACCTGTAATGATCCGACTGATCGTTCTAATCTCTAGTGCATCATTCGGCGATTTGAGGCCTTGAGTAGCTACACTTAAGGTATTATGACTTGTACGCGTGGTTGAAATTGAATTTCGGAAAGTTCGGAGTTGATTTGGAAAGAAAATTCTCATTTCGAAAGCTTTAAGCTGGAAGAATTGACTAAGATTTGACTTTTGAGTAAACGACCTCGGAATTGGGATTTGAAGGTTACAACAGGTTCGTATGATGATTTTGGTCTTGGACGTATGTCTGGATCGGGTTTTGGATGACTCAGAAACGTTTCGGCGCCTATTGTGGAAAGTTGGCATTTTAGAAGGATTTCATAAGTTTGGATTGAAGTGTATTTTAATGTTATCGATGCCTGTTTGGGATTTCGAGGATGAGAATAGACCTGTATGGTGATTCTGGTCTTAGGAGTGCATCCGGATATGAATTTGGAGGTCCGTAGATCATTTCGGGGCCATTTGGCGAAAGTCGGAAATTTAAAGGTTTTGGAAAGTTTGACGGGGAGTGGACTTTTTGATATCGGGTTCAGATACCGATTCCGTAAGTTGGAGTAGGTCTGTAATGTCAAATGTGACTTGTGTGCAAAATTTGAGGTCAATCGGACGTAATTTGATAGGTTTCAGCATCGAATGTAGAAATTTGAAGTTCTAAAGTTCATTAAGCTCGAATTGGGTGCGATTCATGATTTCGATGTTGTTTGATATGATTTGAGGCCTTGAGCAGGTCTGTGTTATATTATGTGGCTGGTTGGTGTGATTGGATAGGGTCCCGGGGTTTTGGGCTAGTTTCGGATCAATTTGAGCTATTTTGGAACTGTTCGCGAAGAAGGATTTTTGGGTTGCTAATGTTTGTACATCGCGAATGTTGCACAGGGGCCACGAATGGGGAAGAGGGTCTGGAACAACCTACGCGAACGCGAGAGTGCTGTCGCAAATGCATAGAAGGAAGAGGGAGCGGGGCATGGAGCAGTTAGCCGCGTTCGCGAGGGTGGTGGTCATAAGGATTCGCGAACGCGACCAAGCTGACGCGAACGCGAAGAGGAAATTGGAGGCATTGAATTTTTTTGGCCTCCGCGATCGCGATGGTCTTTCCGCGATCGCGAAGAAGTGTGGACCTGTGCAGTGAAGTTTTAAAATGGGAATTTGGCCATTTTTATTTCATTTCCTTCATGGGAGCCGATCTTGGAGCGATTTTGGAGCACCATTTCCAGCATCAATCACAAGGTAAGTGATTCACACCTATTTCAAGTTAAATACATCGTATATGTATGGATTTAACATGAAAATTAGTAAAATTTGGGATTTTGAATAAAAACCTAGAAATTCGTATTCATGGATTTTTACCACGAAACTGGGCATGGAATTGGGAATAAATCATATATTTGAGTTCGTAGTATTATGGGTAAAGGTTTCTTTCAAACAATTTCGGAATCCGGGCACGCTGGCCCTAGGGTGATTTTATCGACCTTTCGAGCGGAGTTAAAAATTTGTTATAAATTAATTTATTATGAGTATTATAGTATATATTTATGGATTTGCACATTGATTGACTAGTTTTGAAGCAACGGGCATCGGTTTGGGGTGTTAGAGTGGCGTTGGAGTCGGATTATGGAACTTCAAAGCGAGGTAAGTCTCATGTCTAACTTTGTGAGGGGGAAACTATCCCTAGATGTTGTAATTGATATTTGATACTAGTTGCGGGGGCTGCGTACGCACGAGAAGACGAGAGTCCTTACGTAGCTATATTCATGTTATTGTCCGGGTAGACTCAGGTTCACGCCACGCTATAACTGTACTATTTGAGTTGTCTATTGCCTATTATTTACTATATGTTACAATTGAGACTAGACTTGTGTAGAGCGGTAGACTCGTTATTGTAGAGATTGGATAAACATCATGGTTTGCCACAGAATAATTGTACTCCTCTTACGAATTTCCCTCGCGTTATGCGTTCTCATCGAAAGGGCTTTCCCCAAAGCTTTCCTAAAACTCACTTGTCCCTCCGTGAGTGGGGTCAAGGACCCGTCAAATCTTCTTATTCTAATGGGATCGGGCCGTTCGCCTCGACGTGATAGATACATCTATGGTTCGTGTCGTTTGACCCTCGACAGTGTGCACACCTTATGATATCAGGTCGTTCACCTCGGTATGATTATATACCACACTCTCATGGGAGCGGGCCGTTCACCTCGGNGATCTTCCCTGGGCATGGATTTTTCCATAAATATATATTGAGAGATAAATCTTCTCTGAGCATGGATCTTGCCCGAATCATTGATATTCGAGGATGAATCTTCCGCTGGGCTGGATTGGCCTTATACAGTACTGTGTGACTACTGATTGTCAATGGATGGATATACATATATATTAGGGATGGATCTTCCCTGGGATGGATTGGCCATATACAGTACCGAGTGATTGAGTATTTTAGGTTGTGAGTACATAGAGTTTTCACTAAGGTGCATCACATACAGTATTTATATTGGCATGTAGATATAGAGATGTCATATTCCTCGTATTGTTCAGAATTGATATGTTTTATTTGTACTGAAAGCAACTGTTGAATTTGAAAGCATGCCTACATTTCTGTATTGTTATTATTTATATTAGACTGTACATGCGGAGCTCGTCACTACTTTCAGCCCAGAGGTTAGTCTTGTTACTTATTGAGTTGGTTGTACTCATACTACACTCTGCACCTCGTGTGCAGATCCAGGTGCTTTCGGACACGGCAACCGTTAGATCTCAGAGTGCTATCAGTTGGAGACTATCAAGGTAGCCTGAAGTCCGCTGACCTTGACTCTCTTTCTTTCAGTTATTGTACTGTTCTATACTTTCAGACAGTGTTTTGTCAGTCAGACTTTGTATTCATATTAGATGCTCATGTACTCAGTGACACCGGGTTTTGGGAATGTATCTTATGTCAATAGTTTGTGAGATTTTTCTATGGAAATTCAAATATTATGTTTTCAAACTTCAAAGATATGGTGGTTTGTTGAAATTGTCGGCTTGCCTAGTATTGAGATAAGCACCATCACAACATGTGAGATTTTGGGGTCATGACATTGGTTAAGTCATAAGAAGGACGTTAAAAGAACATCCTCTTTACTGAACCTACAAATTCTGGTGCGAGAATCATGCTAGCTAAGTTTAGATTTGTTAGGAAGTTATTATAGAAAAAGATAACTTTTTTCTTCTTTAAGGTTAAGCAAGAATCAATTTGTTTGTTGGCCACTTGATGTAGTATTTGGTGTTTCTCTTCTATTAGGACTTGTGACTTGCTTTTCGCAAATCCGGTTGGGTCATGGGGATTATCTCAAGAATTAGATGCGGGCCAAAAGCTCCATTTCTGCAGGCCCAATGCCGATTCAGCTAGTTGGCCCATTCCTTTCTTCTTTAAAAATAAATAAATAGCTGGCTCATTTTTCTAAGATAGCCATAAGCTAGCCCAAATGATTAAAAATCAAGTTTCTCCTAATAGATCCAATATAAGTGGATGCCTCTTTTAATAATTATTTTTTCTGAATAGCTTAATTATTTTTAATTAATTTAAACACTAGGCAACTAGTAGGTGCGCTTTAAATTTTTCATTCACGGACTCGCTTGTGTAGCGTGCTATTAACATTCAATAAATTAATTCAATAATCTCATACCATATCTACTAGATTTAATATTTTTTTAATTAATCTTTGTTATAATTGCGGATAACCTTGCGTAGCGCGGGAGTTGAATTTTTAATAAATTTTAAAATTAATTTCCTCAAATTAGTATTTTTTTTCCAAAAGTAATAACGTGCTAATAATCGTTTGTCATGACTGCGGATTCTCTTGCGTAGCGCGATTATGACAAAATTAATAAAATTCGTCTTGGCGGCACATTCA